GCACAAGCACACGGTAGTGAGAGGACGCGCATAACAGAAGCAGAAGCACGTACACATGAACAGAATAGAGAGCAGAATTGCTTTATTTTCGGTTCCATGCCTTCTCGATAATGTAAAACAAGATGGCAGACGATCGCCATGCTTATGCTTACAGCAGCGCTTTCTTACTTGGCATAAACATAAGCTCAGGTACAAGAAGAACAAAATTTTTTGTTCCCCTTGTGCTTATGCTTGTGTTGTGGGCGTCCTCACTACCGTTCTGCTTATGTTGCGTAATGAAAACATGCACCGCCTTTCGTCAGTAAATCTCTTACAAAATACGCTAATTATCAACATCTTACTGCATCTGCCTATGTTGCTTGTGCTTACGGCTTATGCGCTAGTAAAAACCAACCTTTGTAAAATATATATTCCAGAAATTATGCGCCCTCAAACTCGTAACATAGGCCGTATGCATTATAACACGCATCGAAATATAATTTAATATTATAATGAGAACTCGAACTGACCAACCAAAGAGAGAGCCTTTCCTTAAACATTTTATAGTATAATTCAGTAGTGTATTGCAGTAGTAGTTTGTGATGGATTTCCAAAATCAGAAATATTTAGTTCAGGAATAAGTTGAGAATGAGATTAATTACTAAAGAGGCGCAGAAGCAGAGTATTCTACACGAAATTTTGGTTCCTCTTTGCTGTACGAGTCAAAAAAAACCGTAAACACTTTGATTTGGTTCTGACAGGCCAATTGTGTACTGACCAATCATTAATTACCGTTGGTGTTCGCGGCTTAGTTTTAGCACTCCTAATGTTTGGCTTTTTTCCTTGCTACATAATAACATTACATAAATATTTCTGGTGTTCTCGGTTTTCTGAGTTTCATGGTAAATATTTTATAAAATTTCAATTTTGTGAGTTAACTGGCTACGAACACTTCGAGGGAGTTCTTTGACACTGTTTTTGTTGTTGCTATCATTGTTATTTTTGTTGTTGTTTATCCGAGAGCAGTTTGCAGTTCCGACGTTTGGTCTACTTCGCTTCTAAGCCCCCTATTTACCAATAATTGCAAATGATTTATATGGGAAGGTCATAGCAAGTAGCTTCTACAGGCCAAGTTTCAAAATAGCATCCAAAAATCAGTTTCACGTTTGTCCTGTTTAGCGCACTGAAATATGTAACAAATTCGATGCCTTTTTGATAAGCGAATTACCTGGGCTCGCAGGTTATCTAGTTATGAAATACGATTTATAATCGCACTGACAGCCTTTTTCACGGTGTCACCGCCAACTCTTGCATGAAATGTTCCGTTATAAGATAAGCTTGCGCTAGATCTTGGAAAATTGAAAGGGAATTTCACATGCCAGTCTTGCCCATGACGCTGAAAGCTCAAGGTAACATCTTGAGTGTCTGTTTTGCGACTCATTTCCACGGTATTGCCGTCAGCGATGTTTCTCAATTCGTCGAAAATGTACTTCAAAGCCATTTCTCCTTCCTTGCCAGTGTACCACTGAGTGACTGCCATGCGTGTGGGCCGGCTGTCTCGGATGTGACCTATTATCGCATTGATTGCAGTTTTCATCGTGTTCCCCCCAACCATCGCGCGCACTTCTTCATTGGTTGACAAGCTCACATAGGATCTCGGAAAGTTGGAAGGAAATTCCAGTTGCCAGTCTTGTCCTTCGTAATGGAAGTTCAACGTCAGGTCTTGGGTGTCTGATTTCCGAGTTATTCTCACCTCACTGTCAGCGATGCTCCTTAGTTGGTCAAAAATGTATTTCAGTGCCGCTTCGCCTTGCTCGCCAACGTACCACTGATCATAAGAGGCAACCTGAGGAGCAGCATACACGCGTGGGCCTGATGGCTGATCGAGAGATGAAATGCGATCTATCATCGCGTTAACAGCAATTTCTATGGTATCTCCTCCTATCCTTGTGTTCAATTCTCCCAAACAGGTCAGACTTGCCCTGGTTCTTGGAAAATTGTTGGCAAATGCAACTTGCCACTCTTGCCCGTGGCGCTCGAAGGTCAACGTGACATTTTGTGTGTGTGTTGTCCGACTCATTTTTACCCTTGCACTGTCAGCAATGTTTGTAAACTTGTCCAAAACGAATTTCAGAGCCGCCTCCCCTTGCTCACCAGCATACCACTGGTCTGCAGCTACATGTGCAGGATTGCCGCTCATCTGATCACCTCGTGGCTGAACGGATGATATGCGATTTAGTAATGCTTCAACAGCGGTTTCTACAGTGTCACCTCCAATTATTGTGCAGTTTTCTCCATTTGTGGTCAGGCTTGCATTGGATCTTGGAAAGTTGCTGGGAAACGTGACATGCCAGAGTTGCCCGTGAGCCTCGAAGCTCAATGTGACGTCTTGAATGTCTGTTCTGCGACTCATTTTTACCTCAGTGTCAGCTATGCTTGTGAACTTGGCAAATATGTATTTGAGAGCCTGTTCACCCTGTGTACCAGCGTACCACTGATCTGCTGCTACGCGTGCAGGATTCCCACGCAGTATCGGTGGCAAAGGCTGAACGGTTGGCCCTGTCCGACGTTTTGCCGCCGATCGATGTCTAAGAGGCATTTCATCTATAAATACAAAAGTCAGTTAGGCTTCGGTGGGTAAGCTTTTGGGTAACACGCAAAAGCATAAAATGACAGAAAAGATACTTAAAGTTAAGACCAGAAAAATGAAAGACAAAAGACCACTTGTCAGCGGAAAGTTTGGGGAGAGTTTCCATGTGGAAGGGGGAGAATGTTTGTCGTCCCTCTTAAGGGGGCAAATTGGAGGCTATGGTATCACTTGGGGTGTCAAGGCACAGCCGATGTTTTACGCATCAAGGTATCCCTTATATAGGGAATCATCAGTCAGTCATGCCTGCAGCCCATATAAATGCTCCACTCATAGGAGCAAAGAGGATGAGTGTGCCATCATACTTTATGCCATGCCCTAGAAAATACAGCCAACCAGAATGCAGGAAAGTCGTTGTATACTCGATGAAACTACACCAGAAGCTCCCAGTTTGCCCTGCATTGATTGCGCTGGCCATTTTAATTTCTATGGCATGGTATAAGATTTTTACGTACATGGTATATAAACACTTTCAAGTTGTACACTATGGAATATCCCAATTGTCATGATCATTTGTATTTTCTTGGTATACACGATCGCTTTAANTAACGCAATTTTCCAAGAATGCTTAATTTCATTGTTATTTGTTATCGGGCTGATACCAGAGGGCGGAGCAATTGATCAAGTTCCATGACAATATGTTCCGACTTTTCTTGGAACTGTGAACGAATCAATCAAAGAATGAAAAGAAGCCAAAACATTTCCTTGCTCTAATCAACGTTGACAGGTTCACTTGCACTAAAGGACATTGTCGTTTCAAAGTTCAGCTCCAAGAATTGACTTTGCATTTTGTAACTTCGACTCCCAATAACTGGCACCCTCGCTAACTCGAACCTCGCGCTAATTATAAATCGAACCAAAATCGATTTCCCTCGGTCATGCATTTGCTGTAATTTTACCCTCGGTTCCAGTTAACTCGAAGCAATTTTCGTTTGCCTTCAGGTCATTTTCTGTATAGTTTTGCCTTCAGTGACTCGAACCATGTTTGTCAATACGTGAAAACTCAAAACAATCAGTTCTGTAGTCCAAAACATTGAAACTATTTTTCGAAAAAGTAAACCGCATTAATTCTGTAGTAGCAGCCCGACGTTGCTATCTTTGAAAACTGCAAAGTTCGCAGTACCTGGACTTCTCTTGCTGTTTGCATGGCTTTGCTTTCCTTCGTTTCGTTTATACGTCCTGACTTATACAATAATTTAGAATTGTTTAGTTCAATTTTCACTCGACTTCTCTAAAATCAAATTGGAAGAAATACCTAAGCAGCCTTTTTTTTTCCATATTTCCGGTCATTTCTTCTTAACACCCGATAACTCGAACCCTCTTCAATTTATACAGTAATTTAGAATTGTATAGTTCAATTTTCCCTCGACTTCTCTAAAATCAAATTGGAAGAAATACCTAAGCACCTTTTTTTTTCCATATTTCCGGTCATTTCTCCTTAACTCCCGATAACTCGAACCTTCTCCAATTTCCCCTGAAGGCTTTGAAGGTTCCAATTATCGGGAGTTGACTGCATATCTTTCCGGCTTGCTGCTCGATCCGGGTTTCAACGAGGTAACCCCAGTAGTGCATATATATATATAGTGCCCATCCCAACCAGGGAATAGCCGGCATATGCACACGTCTAATTAATCCTGGGTGTGAAGTTCTTTCAATTTTATTCTATCCCGGGCTCCGGACATTTGCCTCGGCCCCAGAGACAGTCCCAGAACATTGGGCACTCTTTTGATCCATTTGGATTTCGCCCTGCATGTGGCGGAAATCGCAAACATGATATGATGTTCTCTTATTTATTTAATCTCCTGTTGATCACATATGGATGACATGAAGTTAACTCGATATAAGTGCTGATTTAGGGAAATTTTACACAATTTTGTGACCGATGGACAGATAACGCACAAGTAAACAAAACGACGTAGGAAATTATGTTGGTGAATAAGTCCATTTGTTCCTCGGGACAAATTCTCCCACGTTCATAATTCTAACCAAAACTTTCTCCGGACAATTTCCTCGTGAGAACGGACTATTCCATCTTAGAATACTAAAATGGTGTACGCCTGTGCGATAAAATGGTTGGTCTTACACTGATAAAAACACTCACTTCTCTATCGACCATGAACTATAAGCTACTATATATTTACTAAAAAGACTGTCCATCATGGTAATTTTACATCAGTTAAATGTATATCTGGCTTTCACCATGTGTACGAAGCACAAGGCTGCATGAAACGGGTGTCCTTGATGTTAAGTTATACTGCATACTGGCTGCATTCGGCGCACAAAAACTGGTCGTGGTGGTTGATCCGTTGATGTTATGTAATTTATTGTCGCGCAGACAGCATGTTCAACATTGTCACCTCCAATCGTTGTACACACTCGCTTATTGATGGACAGACTTGCTTCAGAACTTGGAAAATTGGAAGGAAATGTCGCTTGCCACTCTTGTCCTTGACGGAAAAAGCACATCGTAATATCTTGAGTGTCTGTTCTGCGGCTCATTTGCACATTACCATGAGCGATTTTCGACAATTCGTTGAAAACATATTTGAGAGTGGCTTCGCCGTTCTCTCCTGCGTACCACTGAACAGCTGGTTGCTGACATGTAGGATTGCCGCGATTTGTGGCAAAAGACGGATCCAGAGATGAAATACGATGTATTATCGCTCTAACTGCAGTTTCCACAGTGTCACCGCCAACCATTGCGTTGAATTCTCGGTTGATAAACAAACTTGCATCAGATCTTGGAAAATTAGAAAGAAATTTCACTTGCCAATGATGCCCAGAACGCTCCAAACTCAGCGTGAGATCTTGGGTGTCCGTTTTGCGACTCATTTTCACCTCACTGTCAGCGATGTTCGTCAACTCGTTGAAGACGTATTTGAGGATCGCTTCCCCCTGTTCACCACCATACCACTGATCTGCAGAGTTGCCATGAATTCCTACAGCAGGTGTATGCTTTATTTTTGATATTATGGCACGGACAGCACTTCTCACAGTGTCACCGGCAGCCACTGCATAGGCCTCACCGTTGGTAAACACGCTTGCATTGGAGCTTGGAAAATCTGCAGGAAAACTGACTTGCCATTGCTGTCCATGACGCTGGAAGCTCATGGAGAGATTTTGAGTTTCTTTTTTACGACTCATTTGTACTTCACTGTCAGCGATTGCCTTCAACTTGTTGAATATGTATCTAAGATCCGCTTCCCCTTGGTCACTAGCATACCACTGGAAAGCAGCGTGGTTGTCACATGGAGGACCCGCCCTGAGGGGCGTCACGTCTGTAGAACACAAAAGACGATGTTATCTCTCTACTGCTCATTTTACAAGGCTAGTTCTTCAGGGTGAAACCCCAAAACCAGGAATGTTCTAATCTGCAAGAGTGCTGGTATGCCATTTTAAAAGTATCCATTTTTGTAAATTAAATTAAATTAAATTTTTTAAATTAAGTTTTATATTCTTTTATATGCAATCACATTGTTTTATTTACGACCTCGTAATTTCTCTCAGTTGAATGAATAGAAAGCTGAGATCAAACTTACTTGTCATCCCGATGCGGCCTCGGTTACCAGGGTAGCGAGGAAACGACAAAGCGTTAGCGACTTCAGAAGCTTTTGGTCTTTCAACTGGATCATGGCTCGTACATGCATGGTAAACGTCTCGTACACGTACCCAGACTGTCGACTGCTTGGACTGGTATTCTGGATCAGACGAGGGGCGTTTTCGTTGTCGTTGCAAGTTCATAATGTCAGTCGGGTGTTGATAGCCATCCCGCTCGTAAGGGCAAAAATCGCCAGGGTTTATGAGACAGTAGAATACAAGTCCAAGTGCCCAGATATCGACTTTCTTTAGATCATCCAGTGACAGCTTTCTCCCTGGCACCATTGCTTCTGGCAACAAGATCTCTGGTGCCATGAAANCAAGTGCCCAGATATCGACTTTCTTTAGATCATCCAGTGACAGCTTTCTCCCTGGCACCATTGCTTCTGGCAACAAGATCTCTGGTGCCATGAAAGCAATTGTTCCTCTAAATACCTGGTTAGTTCCGGGATCGTTCAGTCCGGTGGTCTGCAGTAATTGTGAACGGCTCTCACCAAAATCTGCCAGCTTACACACCACTGGTCTAACCGCCTTGATCCTTTTGATCTGCTGCCTGTCTTGAAGAGCGGAATAATGCTGATTGGAAATCAGAATGTTCATAGGCTTCAAGTCACGGTGCGCGATTTCATGTTCATGCAGGTGTAAAAGTCCTTTGGAAACATCAACTGCAATCTTTGGTATCAGATGATCAAATTCATTGTCCTCGATTTTGGATATTTGGGCAATCTCTGACAGAAACATATCTAGGGTGTTAACTTTGATGTCTCTTCTGAAGTGCCCGAATGGACTGAAATCGAAAACCACGTATTCCATTACGATAGTAAGGGGATTCCTGCAAATCCCATACATTCGGACGATATTTTCATGATGAAGTCCAGTTAATAACTTGGCTTCCTTCATGAACAGTTTTCTGACAACATCACCCGCGGCCAGTGATTGGTGCATCACTTTCATCACAACTGGGTTGGTCACTTCCGGTTCATCACAATGTGCTAAATAGACTGTTCCAAAAGTACCACGTCCAAGTTGTTTTTGGATTTTCAGTTTTCTGTAATCCCAAACTTTAATTCCGTCTTCCATCCTGAGTGGATCTGCTTAATTATCTCTGAAAATAAAACATTAAAATAAAATTTATTTTTTGTATTTTTTGAGACACCATAAGAACACCCAAGGGTGCAATGGAGGTGGTTTGGTTCTTTTGAACTAAAGAACGACTTGATCAGATGAGAAAGAACCTTGGTGCAAATAACCTTAGCAAATAACCTTAGTGCAAACCTACATTTGTAATTGGCAATCCGTTTCAATGAATGGGTATATTGTAAAGATCAATTTTCCTTTACAAGAGTGACTACCGGTTTGTCTAGTATTGCAACGGTGCCGTGGTGGCGAGAGTTGTGGTATGGTCATCAAGATGGTAATAAGCTGCTAGTGTTGATAATTACTAAAAGTAGATTCTCTACCACACATTCTAAACTCTAAATGATGGATGAGTACTTTGACACACTACTGTGGTGCTGGCTGCGATGATGGTGATGATATTGGTTATAGGGACTATTGATTTAGTCATGGTCAGCTTATGATGGTGGTTGCGATGGTGGCAGTTGTGGTATTAGTGGAGATGAAGTCTGTAATAAACTTACAAAATCTTACAATTTCTTTGACAATGTAATGCAGCTGGTTGTCATGAAATTATTTCGCTTTCAAGTGCCGCAGAACTTGTACAGATACTGATTGTAATTTACCGATTATAAAGCACTCGCTTCTTTAATTATGGTTTCTGGCAAGAACAAAAAAAAAAGCAATAAACATCTCGTAGACCTTGAGTCTTACAAATTAAAGATCATTAAAGGAGATCATGGTAATCCGTAAGGAACATCATTTTTATGCAATCTGCTTACGATTCTGTTCTCTATTATAGTGACCCATGCAATCTACAAGTAAAACTAATTTGCCTTACTAAACATCAATTCTGCTACAATTTCTTCCAGTAAAACAGATTAAAAGCACTCAGGTTATCAGCTAACGTACCATATTCAGTGCACACATCGAAACAAAATGGCGTCGTGAAATGGAGTCTATATTTACGTACCACTGATCAGTTGATAGCGAAAGCACACCTCTCGTTTGTCTTCGGTTTCAAAGCAGTGATAGTACACTTATAAGACTTATATTCGTCCGGTTTTCATCGCCTGTGCAGCGATCAGGAAAGTATGCTTTCTATTCCAAACTTTCGTTTTCCCTTGATGAATGATTGACTACGACTGACGACTGGGTTCAAAGCTGCGAGCTGGACGTTCCTAGAACGCCTCACACTGGGTAAACAATGATATATTTAAAGGCAGTACGTGTAGATTTGTGATTTGCTGGCCGGATTAAAATTGGTTGGAAGCGTGACCTGTCGTACACGTCACGAAAACAACTCGCCAGTTTGCGAGAATTTGTAATTAATCCTTGGATCATGGTCAAAGGGCGGAGCAAGAACATTGACAGTTTGTTCCGACTTTTCCGGGAACTCCGAAGCAGTAACAACATTCAAATCATGGGAAAAGCAGAAGTGTTACACCAACTCGGTTTGACGGTTCAATGCTTGTTGTTTACTTTCTGAGTGAACCAGAATTTTCCGTCGGTGGAGGAGCGAGTTGTTCAGTTTGCCAAGTTATCAGAAACTCACGACGAGCATTCACAGGCTTTAAGGGAGGTTAGCTTCGAAACCGACGAAACGTCGACTTAATAATTATCACTGTACACGATTCAACAAGGCGGAACAAAGATGGAGAACATGACCAACAAAGAAAACTTGTTCTTCGATCCTGCTACAGGAAAGCTCTGCACTTCAAGACCAGCAAATGACAAGGCTATAGCCGTGGACATGAACAGACAAGGGTCTGGTGGATTTTTCGCTTTCACAACGAAGGGAGAAAGACATGATTTTCTGCGGACGTGTCCCAACATGGCAGCTGATTTAGAGTGCCTGAACGTTCATTGCATTGTACTGAACTAAATACTTTTCAAATAAGATACTGAGGACATTTATATCTTGGAACGTTGTGTATAAATAACCTACCCAACTTTAGTAATGAGCAAGGCTTGTACTGACCGTAAATCAATTTGTATCAATTTGTCTGGCGTGACACTATCTACTGAATTCATAGCTTATGAAATATAAAGATTTCTGACTGCAGCTTTAAGAAACAATCAACTTCATAAAATGTACCCATATATAATTAGACCTACAAATATAATCAATCTTTGTATCGTATAGTCTCCGTGCAGTTTCGTACGATGGCCATGCAATGACGCGCTGATTATAGCTCGGTCATCATGGTGGCTGGCACCATAACCTTATTTCCTTATTGATTGGCTAGGAAATTTGAATAGTCTACAGAAGAAGAGCCAACCTTATACTAGTCTTTCTGATCACTACCTCGTGGCTTATATTGTAAGCTATGTTTCTGTTTATTGAAATTGCAAGTTAAAGAACGTTTACTTACTTAGCTTACAATATACCTAAGAAACTAAGAATTAAATAAAGGTTTTCTCTTCTTGAATGTTGACCATAATCGAAATGCAACGTCCATGCACCCCTACACGGGTGTCCGCTCGTTAGAATACGCAGTATGAAATAGTTAACAGTCGTGGCTGTTCGCTCAGTAGCTAACGATTGCGATTGCGATTGCATAAATGAAACCGATAAAGAAACTTTTGATGACGTCCGTCATCTGACCATCTTAAGCAAGCCTGATCTTATACGCATCGATATTTTTGTTAGGTTGCAGGAGAATTGCAACATATGGCAAGGATGCACTGATGAGAAACAGCTTTACACCTCTCGTAAAACATAATTATGAGAGTAAGGATCAACGCATTCTCGTTGTCCCGTTTATTAATTTCGAAATGTTTCGTCATTTGGTTGAACATGTGTTTGATTAGGTTTGAAGGAAAAATTCTGGGTATAGATTTCTTTTACAAGGGCAAGCTGGTTGAGCGCAAGCAGGTATATTGTAGTTGTCTATAAATCTTCCAGACATTTATTTCGGAGCTAGGAGACTTACGGGAACTTGTAATGGTTCAGTTCCTTATTTTTCCATTATGTCCTGGTCGCAGGTATATCCTGCTCTTTCCAGTAGAGGAGATTATTCTTAAGCGTCGCCTTTTAGTTAAACGAGGAAGAATCAATTTGGCTCTCCAAAGGGCAGAAAAATTATACTGAAACTAAGAACATAGCGCCATGTATTATTTCGTTAACTTTATTGACCTTTATTTCTCGGATCGAAATGCTTCACAGAGTCTACCTTAGCTATGATGTATAGGCAACAGTTTCTTGTAGCATTTAATTAATATCATAATTTAAGCACTTATTTCAAATCTTCATGCACTCTACTAGTTTCTCGTTATTAATGGTAGCAAATTTCCAACTCTGGTTACAGCATTTAAGCAATAAAGGCACTGTCCGGAAACTGAAAAAAACTGAAATCGATAGATTAATTCATGGCTTTACTTCCTTCAAATATTTTGCAATAACCTAAGCGTTGAAGCTAGGAAAAAGGTTCTATTGGATAAAGTCGAGTTCCCTGGGACTATTGGGTGGAGCTTCACTAAGCGAACTGCCTTCCTGTACATAAGAAACCATGTTCTTCACCGCCTTGCTCGCTTTTTCGCTGCTTCTCCGCCTTTGTTTTTTTTCTTGGCCAGTCCCTGNTCTCCAGAAAAAGACCGATTTCTAACTACGCGACTTCAACGAAAGGGAAAGTGTCCTCTGTGACCAAATCAAGTTTAATGAAATTGTACTTACATCAGCAACACTACAATAGCGGCATCTCGCTAGTCACTGAGCTAATGTTAACGGCATCTAGTTGAAAAATTGGTTGCCGTCTGCAGAAAATTATAAGATTTTGTTATCAAAATCCTGCAAAAAGACCACTGAAAACATTGGGTAATGTTTTTAAGAATTATTATGTACACAGATCGCTCAAGCAGTTTTATTTATGTTACCATTTGCTAAGTACTTCAA